TGGCTGTGAGAACTGTATTTGAACACCCAAGCATACATGCTCATAAACACATGAACTATGTGCTGTTGCATGCAGTTCCTGGCTGTGAGAGTTTCATTTGAGCACCTAAGCATACATGCCCATAGCCACCTGAACTATGCACTGTAGCATGCAGTTCTGATTGCTGTGCGAGTATATATGAGCATCCAAGCATATGCCCTCAGGGCCACCAGAATAACTACTTGATCTAGCGCACAGTTCCGATGGTTCTAAGTGCATGTATTTTTGAGTGCTTGCTTTGAGAAAGCCTCACGGCACTGACAATGGATAACAAAGCAGCTTGTGATAAATCATTTAAATAAACAGACTACATCATTAGTCTAGTCACCTGAACCAAGCGAACCCAATTCAACTTTACTCAATTCTCAACCAAATTCAAACAACTTTTATCTAACTGAACGCAACCAAATCTAACTGAACCCAACCTAATGCAACCAAACCCAACCCAATCTGAATCAGCCAAACCCAACTAATGCAATCCTAACCAAACCATTACAACCCTAACCAATTCAACCCAACCCAATTGATCCCAATTTAAATCAACCCAATCCTTCCCAATGCAATCCAACCCAATTCATCCTAACCAAATTTAACCCAATCTAACCAAACCCAACCCAATTCAACCTAACCCAATTGATCCCAATTCAAATCAAACCAACCCTGCCCAATGCAACCCAGCCCAATTTATCTTAACCAAATTTAACCCAACACAATCTAACCAAGCCCAACTCTCCCAACATACAATACAATTCAACCCAACCCAATTGATCCCAATTCAAATCAACCCAATCCTTCCCAATGCAACCCAACCCAATTCATCCTAACCATATTTAACCAAACCCAACCCAATCTAACCAAAACCAATTCAACCCAACCCAATCCATTTAAACTAAAACCAATTAAGCCCAACCCTATTCAACCCCGCCTAACTCAATTCAACCCACATTCAATTAAACTCAACACAATTAAACCATATTCAACCAAAACCAATTTAACTTGTTCCAACTTAAGTCAACCCAATTGACCACACCTAACTCAATTCAACCCAACCAAATTTAACCCTAATCAAATCATTCCAGCCAAATTCAAGCCAACCTAATTCAGTAAAATTAAATAGACAGAATTAGAATGTGTAAGAATGCATTGAGATTTTATTTAATTGCTCTAGATTTTATTGCAATGCATTAGAATGCTTCAAATTGAATTAGGGTACATTAGATTTCATTAGGTTACATTAGATTGCATTAGAATGCTTTTGATTGCAGTAGAAAGTGTCAGTTTGAATTTGATTAGTTAGAACACAATAGATCGCGTTAGAACACAATAGATCGCGTTAGAACACAATAGATCGCATTAGAACACAATAGATCACGTTAGAACACAATAGATCACGTTAGAACACAATAGATCACGTCAGAACACAATAGATCACGGTAGAACACAATAGATCGCATTAGAACACAATAGATCACGTTAGAACACAATAGATCACGTTAGAACACAATAGATCACGTTAGAACACACTTGATTACGTTAGAACACACTTGATTACGTTAGAACACAATAGATCTCGTTAGAACACAAAAGATTACGTTAGAACACAATACATCTCGTTAGAACACAATAGATCACGTTAGAACACAATGGATTGCGTTAGAACACAATTGATTAACAAGTTTTTTCAGCAGTAGCATTGGGCGTGCCAGACATATGCACATTGTGATCGGGTGACAGATACAAGCAATCAAACAAACTACAGATGCGCGCGGTGACAGCGGGGTTGATCGAGCAATCTATATTTATGATCGGTCATTGCTGCCCGAGCCATAGTTTCTGATCAGCCATGGACGCCGATTTAAGGTCGATTTAAGGTCAAGGTGGCTGATGGAGGGCTTGAAAAGTTGCTGATATCTCGAGCAGAAAGGCCCTACTTTACAGCCTGGGCGACTGGATTTTTTGAGCAGTGGTTTTATGGGTTTGCTAGCTATGATTCCATTTCTTTGAGCTGTGAATTAGACAGGGTGGAAATCTATAGGGGCATTTAATTAACCGGAAACCACTGACTAGGCTATATATCTTGGCCGTGAAAAGCTTTTTACAAGCATTGAACTTATTATTTACAAAGTCCCATGCATGATGTGTTGGCCCACATCTCTAATTTTACCCTAAAAACAGTCACTAACATTTGTCACTTAAGTGGAAACTGAACAAGTGATAATACAGTCTCATCACTCTAACGTGACCGCAACTACGTGATTTTCAAGGAAACATTTTGGTTGACTTGTTGATGTTATTACGTTCTGCATGTTATTTTGGCAGGAAAGGGGACTGGGGAGCATATATACTGCGGATTGTGGAAATTTAAAATTTTGTGAAACCACACCACAATTTTTTCAATCAAACAAAAAATGTATGACATTAGACACAAAATTTTGTATCTACTGAACAAGTATGTAATGAAGTCAAGCCCTGGTTTTACATATATACTGTTTTTTTGAGCCCTGGTTTTATGGATTTGTCAGCTGTGATTCCATTTTACCACGTTTTTCTTAGCTCGCTTTTGTGTCTATGATGATCAAATCTTGCAATCGATATTTCACCAACTTTCCCATTAGCTAGCGCTCTGAAACTTTTAGGGAAGCTCAGCTCCCGATAACAATACAATAATCAATAATTTGTTGCACGTTTCCAGGCGTATAAACTCTAAAGGAACTCACAAGCACATGAATTCCATATCTCAGCCATTCAATCATACTATCTCAGGCATGAAAAGCCATTTCTGAGGCACGAATTTATTTACAACGTCCATGCATGTGTTAACCCCAAATCTCTAATTTTACCCTAAAAAAGTCAAATAGCAACAATAACATTTGTCTTTACTGTAAGCTGAACATGTGTTATCACTTTGACTCTGATTCCTTCATCTTGTACTATTATTCCATTTTTTGTAGTAGGTACTGTTTTTAAACAGGGTTGCCAGACGGTCATTTTTTCTGGACAAATTCTGCGATTTAGTTTTTCACAATTGCGTTGGCCAGCTAAAGTTTATGATAGGGGTACTTCTGAATTAAATTTTAAGTACTGCAAAAATAAAATAAAGGGAATTTTTATAGCAGAACCTACAAATAAACTAGTATACATTGAATTATTGGCATTTTTGGCCTTTTTTGTTCCCGGATTTGGCCGATTTTATGCAACCTGAATTATGTACCACCACATCCTGGAAAAATCCATTTTGTGGTACACATATGTACCACTTTGGAGTCAACATGTTAATGCAGTCTGACGTGACCGCAATTATGCGAGATCTTTAACAAACATTTAAGTTGACTTGTTTACATTATGATGATTCCATTCTGCAGGATGTTTTGGCTGGAACATTAAAGTACCGGTAATGCATATTGTGAAAGTGGAAAATTTTATGAAATGACATGTTTGCAATCATGCAATGTGCAAACCACTGTTTTTTTTTCAATCAAACAAAAATTTATGACATTCAAGCTATGAGATTTCATAACTAGTACTTGAATTATATGATATTAGAGCCACGATATTTCAGAAAAAAAGGACTTCTCCAGCCCTGATTACAAGTATGTATTGAAGTTGATCTGTAAAAATTTTCTAGGTGCTACTGCCATAAAGAAAATTAATATACAAGGGCTATTCAGAAACTAGGGAATGCATGTAATAAAGCAAAAACTAGGTTTAGAAGAAATATATTATTTATACATCTGATAGTGTGACTAAAATGCAACTTTTCTCCATAGTCACCGAACAAATTAAGGCAATTATAGTAGCTGTCGACAAGCTTCAAAATTCCTCCATCACTAAAATCTGCTGCCTGCAATCTCAGCCACTCAGTGACACATGCCCGGAGCTAGTCTTTGTTATCAAAATGCTGTGTTGCTAGCCAGGACTGTAGGATGGATGTGGGAAGAGCTCCCATTTGAATGAGTCAAGAATGACAATTTATTCATAACAATGACCAACCTCACTTGCAGGGTTGGCAATGATTAAATCAAAATGATTAAATCATGTTATTAAATCACTTGATTTTTTTATAAAAAAAATCATGATTTTTTTTATTTTTTCGATTTTTTTGATTTTTTTGATTTTTTCATATATTTAAATAAATTGAGTGGCAGTCTTTAATTTATATTGAGGTATTGTTATTCATGGTTTAGTATAAATGTACTATAAATGACAAATTGGTATATAAACTTGTTTTGAAATATTGATTGCAAGATTTGATCATCACAGACACGAAAGCGAGCTAAGAAAAACGTGGTAAAAAAAAAAATCGCCAACCCTGCTCACTTGGCAAATCAAACTGTAGGTCTTGACTAGTGATGCAGAACTTCTAGCCTTCAACTGCAGAACTTCTAGCCTTCAACTGCAGAACTTCTTGACTAGGTAGTGGTTGGCAGTTGTCTTACTTGGCTGTAGCACTGTGGTTGCAGGTGGCATTACACCAGGCATTTTATTAGTTTTTAGTTTCTGTTTTATTCTAAACTGTGTTGATAGTCAGTCTACCAGTCAATTTTAGCCTAAATAGCAAAATCATCATGTTCATGTAGATGCAAAAAGCAAGGACAACAAAAATTTTGCTGAATGATTTGAAAAATTAGTTACAATTTATTGCTATTAATGTTAAATTTCTTATTTTTTTACAAATTGTTGTAAATAGTATTTTGATCTTATTACACACTAAAAACAAACTTTATCACACAAAACACATCAAGCAAGATAGAAAAAACCTAATACAATAAAATTTTACAGTTCTGGCCTCCACACACCTTGAGTCACACTGTCGCATATTTTATGTAGGTAAACATTTATATATATTTGAAATCTAGTGCCTTGATTGTTCAGTTTAATCAACGATTGAATATATAGGAATAAATTCATCTACTGAATGTCTAGTGCTTTGTGGTTCTAATAATGATGGCTTCTTTTCTTAGGCTTGAGTCAACTCACTCAGCTGACAAAAATATCTATCATCTGATTTTCCAAATAATTTTTTACTCTTTTTAGAGACTTGAGTACATAAATTTTGCAACAATGACAAAAATTTAACTAGGTATTATAAATTTTTTTTGCTGTGAATTAATTTTTCAAGAAGTTGAAAAAGGTTCTGAGCTGCCAACTTATTTGCAAAGTAGCATTAATATGGTCAAGAAAAATAATTAGTAATAATAAAGTAATGACTCCTGAAAGCAGTTTGGTTAATTTCAAAATAATAGTTTCATCATGCTGTACAAGAAACAAATGTTATTTACCTTTCAGATAACACTCCTTTAATGCCTTGACCGCCTGTTGTTTGAGTCATCAAGGGAACAACTGTAATGCCTCCAACAGTAAACGCTCCTCACCCGCAGGAGCGGGACAAGCGGGTCAGGACTGGAGAAAGGAAGTGAGTTTTCTACAGTTTACGGAGGCAAGCACTTCTTGCTGCTCACACAGAATAATAATTATAATAGTTTATTAGACAGTAGATGATTATGTTAATTATGTTGTAAAAGATAAGGTTTGCTATGCTTCCCTGATGCTGCCAGTGGAAGGTATTTGTTGAAGTAATAGCATGTATTTGATTGGTTTGTTTCATTTGTCAATTGGTTCTTACCTGGAACAAGACTAAGCTGGGGCCTTGTTTAACATTTTAAAGCATTTCAGTCAGTTGTGGTTTAGTTGATTGTTTAAATGAACCACATTTTTAGGTGGTGATGTAGTTAGATGATCAATTGTATAATATTATTTTGACTTGTGGTCTTGTTGTATCTTTATTTGTGTAACTTTAGTGAGTTGTGATTGACTGAAATGCTCATGAGAGTCTAGTGCTGGGGGAGGTAGCAGCAAGAAAAGAATTATTCTCTTCTAAATTTCCTTGTGCTATATTCTTATATCCATGATATTTATTTTGGTGCTGTGGAGAATCAATCAGAAGTAGTCGAGCTTGTCAGGTGTACTGCCAGCCTATTCCTTCCATCAACTAATCCTGACATTATGTTTTCATGCAGCCTGCTCCCTGAGGCTCAACAGTTGAAGAGGTGAAAGTGTTTTCTGTACATCATTGATTACACATCAGTGTAGTCAGTTATCATTATAGCTACATCTCCTCAGTGTAGTCCTACATTCCTTCAGTGTTGTCCTACATCTCCCCAGTATTGTCCTACATCTCCTCAGTGTAGTCCTGCATTCCCTCTGTATACTTATATGTCCCCAATGTAATCCTGATATTTTGATAAATGAATATTTTTACACCACTTCCCTGCCGTCCTTAATACCTTCCATGCAGTCCTTAATACCTTCCATGCAGTACTTAATACCTTCCATGCAGTCCTTAATACCTTCCATGCAGTCCTTAATACCTTCCATGCTGTCCTTAATACCTTCCATGCAGTCCTTAATACCTTCCATGCAGTCCTTGATACCTTCCATGCAGTCCTTAATACCTTCCATGCAGTCCTTAATACCTNCTATTCAACTGGGAGTTATTGTTCAACTTTGGCGTTAGATTCTCTATTTCACTTGCAATATAAGAACTAAAACCTTGGAACTCGCCAAAAAATCCGACATTTGATATAGAATTGAAATCTCTGTAAATATTGAATATCGCTCATTAGAATAGAAATTATGCATGAATCATTTTGGTATTGCAAATATTTTGAGTATTGATTTTAAGAGCGTGTTTCTCAATTAATTTTATATTTATAACTCGTTTGCTTCACGGTTAAAATGTTGAAGTTACGCTCGACGCGATTACAGTGTTTGCTTCCGTGTTGCTCAGTGACGTGAGGTTCAAAGAGACAAGCGTTCCTAGATTAAGGAGATTTTAATTACTGTTCAATTGATAGATTTCACAAATAAAATATGTTTATTGAACTTGTAATAGTTCCATTGGACTCTAGGTACAAGACATGGGGTTGACGACTAAAGTTTCTAGTAGGTTGACATTTGGGTTCGTTCCTTCCCCTAAAACTTTCCTCAGTTCTCATACAACAGTTAATTAATTATTCTTGTTTTATCCAAATTCCCAGTAGACTCGCCTCAAATCGTAAAGGAAGTAACGCCATCTACTCGCTTATTACATACAGTATTTTTTGTCATTTGTTGAAGGCCGATTCTTACAAGTTTTAAATTTTTTTATCTGGGTATAGATACGCTTGGGGGGATTCATCACAAATTACTTACAGCTGCTCAAGCAGCTCAATGCATAACTTATCTAATCGCTTTTCACAGCTGTAACAAAAAAAGGCGTTTAGATAAGTGGGTAAATAAACTGAGTGAAAGGAGAACCAGTTTGACGGTAAAGGAAAAGCTGTCTCTTATACACATCTAGATGTGTATAAGAGACAGCTACTGCACCCTCACGATGAGCGCCTCATGGAGGACGACACCCACGCCCCACAGGTGGGTCAAAGGGGCAGGCAGGAACTGTGTTCCCTGTGGTTGGAACGGTGGTAGTTACCAGTAGGTCGGAAATGGCGTGGTCGCAGCGTCAGTGGCCTGAAATTCAGACGAGGTTTTTGTACAAAAAGTAGCAGCGTGGTAAATGCTGTTATCGACCATCTGGGGAGCCACTGCGATGGTCAGAGGGAGATTACGGGGGGGTGTGGTCGCTCCTGGTTTCATGCGCCGATGGTCAGGGACGGGGTGGCTGAAGCAGTGGACGAAGGAGGCTCAAGCTGATCGGACGTTCGATGAGCGTTCAACCCTAAATGTACAAGATGCCGAGGAGATGTCATAGGTGTTGGGGCCGCCAGTTGATCTCGGCAGTCTTAGCGAGTGGGGTAGACAAATCCGGCGGATTCTACAGCGGGTAGGCAAATCTCCGAGTAAAATCCGGCAGCTAAATGCCGCCTGTTAGGAGAAGGCTGCAAGTTGGTGTCTCAAACTGACTCCCTGTGAGGGGAAAGTCGATGGCAAAAGAAGATTGGAGGAGCTCACCTCAGAAATTATGTACGGATATGCTTGGTTCAGGTGGGGGATGATGGTGAGATCTGAGGGTGGGAAGGTCGGATGAGGGGATGCAGGTCCGAGGGAGGGAAGGCGGGTTGGTTCTCTCTTGTTCTCTTGTTTCTGTGTAGGATAACCATGTGACGCAGTTAACATTAAAGTCTCCCGTGAAGATAAGAATGCTATTCAAATCTGAAGAGCATCGCGGAAGACTTGTCGAGGCTTGAGGGATGAGGTTGAAGATGTTAAGGTGGACGCTGTTTACTGCCCATCCATGGGGTTACTATGCTGGGCGATTGACGCTCATGCCCGGGGTTAGTTTGTGGTCAAGTAGTTGAGGCTGTGGTTTTAAGAAGTCCCGCTACTGCCTCTTACAAGTGTCGTGTCTCATGTTCCTCTTGCCTCCAAGGCCCTCCTGACCCTCATTTCCCCCTAACCCCCGTGCCTCTCTGAACCCCTGTTACTCCCATGTTATCTCTAATCTCCTTATCCTTTGTCACCCCCATGCACCCATCACTCCCAGGTATACCTGGGCATCATGTCACCCATGTCCTTTTATGATCTCCTAACCCCGCAATTCCACCCCTCTAACCCCCCGTTTTGCGGCAGGCGGCCAAGAAGTCCCGGCACAGCCACGTGAACGTGTCATGGCTACGGCGCACGGAGTATATCAGCACGGAGCTCACCCGCTACCAACCCACCAACAATGACAAGATCGAGGCTACAGTGGGCTACAGTCGCCGCAAAGCTAAGGTGGGCTACAGTCGCCGCAAAGCTAAGGTGGGCTACAGTCGCCGCAAAGCTAAGGTGGGCTACAGTCGCCGCAAGGCTAAGGTGGGCTACAGTCGCCGCAAGGCTAAGGTGGGCTACAGTCAATGCAAGGCTAAGGTGGGCTACAGTCAATGCAAGGCTAAGGTGGGCTACAGTCGCCGCAAGGCTAAGATGGCAACATTCAACTATGACTGAAATATTGTACTTGATCATTTCATGTATGAATATCACCCCCAGTTCCTCGCTACCACGCCCCTGTATATCACCACCAGTTCCTCTCTACCACGCCCCCGTATATCACCACACGTACTATTCCACCACGCCCCGTATGAATAATATTGTAACCTGGCAGATGGAAGAGCCGACATACACGGACCGGGAGAGTCAGCTGGAGGCAATAGAGCAGACGTTCGAGGCAGCCAAGGTGCCGCTGATGGAGCACTACAGCAAGCCTGGCGTGACGGCCCTCGAGGAGCTGCCCATCTTCCCTGACTTTGAGCTCTGGAAGTTCCCTTGTGCCCAGGTCATCTTTGACAGCGACCCCGCGCCCCCAGGGCGGCCCCCTAATGATGCCCTCGAGGAGATGAGCCAAGCCATGATCAGGTGTGTGTACATTGTTAGGTGTATATTGTTAGGTGCGTGTACATGATTAGGTGCGTGTACATGATTGGGTGCGTGTACATGATTAGGTGCGTGTACATGATTAGGTGCGTGTACATGATTAGGTGCGTGTACATGATTAGGTGCGTGTACATGAT